TTTCTTCCTTCTCTCCCTCTTTCCACTCTGTCAGTTCTCCTGGGTCAGGGCTGGGAGAACCCCAGGATGGGAGAATGAGGGGAGAGGATAGAAGCAATGACCCCCAGAAACTGCACCTGCTGCTGCCTGTTCTCACGGGCTCCGCCCCCTTTTGTTCATTCTCATGGTGTGGGAGCTCAGAGGTAGGAGATGCCCCATATCAGGCCCTCAGCAAGACTGTCCAGAGCGCTTATGTTGCGTGATTCTGAGGGGCCAGGCCTCTTCTCCTCTCCCCGGGACCTTGTGGGAAGAGGGCCCTCATGGGAATGCTCTGGAAGATGAGATTGGGGAATAGGCAGTGGTTTCTTTGCCCTGGGCTGGATGCCTCTTGATGACCTGTCCACCCAGGCAGTCCCAGTGCCCGGAGGGGCACCGTCCAGATCTGCCGACGTGTGGGGCGGCCTGGTGCTTATCCCAGCCGAGCAGCGGGAAATGAATGGAGTTAAGTCCACATGGCCCTTGTTGGGCCTCTTCGCTGGAGAGTCAAAGCAGCAGAACGCCTGGAGTTCTTGGGGAGAGCAGAGCCTCCCTCCCTGCAGGATGTGGACGGTGTGAGGGGGCAGGGAAAGTGGTGTGACCTGTCTCACCTGTGCTGCTTGTTCGCAGAGCAGCGGCAGGAGAGGGGCGGCAGGATGAACGTGGGCACGGCGCACAGTGAGGTGAACCCCAACACGCGGGTGATGAACAGCCGCGGCATCTGGCTATCCTACGTGCTGGCCATCGGGCTTCTGCATGTCGTGCTGCTCAGCATCCCCTTCGTCAGCGTCCCTGTGGTCTGGACCCTCACCAACCTCATCCACAACATGGTGAGGGCCTGCCTGCTGCCTGCGCAGGCTCTGGGGGCTGAGGAGGGGGAGGAGCCCCTTCAGCCGTGGGCCAGATGTCAGGGTGACGTGCTGACAACATCTGTCCCTGGACCCCAGACCCATCTCTCCTCTCAGTCTCCCCCCAACTTCTGGGTTCCAGCCGTGTGCACTCTGAGGACGAAAATCTGCGGATCTGTGCACATCCCCAGGACAGGGTGGCTTGTGGACCTGGAGGGAGGGCCACTGGGAACTGAACTAAGGGCTCCAGAGAGTCCCCAGGACCCAGATGCCCAGCCTGGCACAGAAATGCCCCCTCCCAAGCCCAGATCTCCAGCCATCTTCCACTCCAGCCCCTCCGCTCCCGCAGCCGCTGCTTGCTAGCTTGTACTCTGGCAACCAAGCAGGGGCCATCAGCTCGTCCCCGCCCCTCCGGCGCAGGGAAGCTCGCACTAGGCCAGAGGGGCATTTCTGCAGCTAAGTTCTCCCCATGCCTTATCCTCATGCCAGGCCTGATCTCTCACCCAGTGGGTCCCCTTTGTCTCCTGCCAGGCTCCCAGCTGCTCCATCCTGACCTCCAGCCCACAGCCCTCTGCCCTGCAGAGGGCAGCTCCATGTAATCCAGAGCTCACTTCTTTGACTGGGGTAGAGGAACTGAGCTGGAGGGCCTTTTGCTTTTTGTGTCCTCTAACGAAGGCCCCTCCCCGCAGGGCATGTACATCTTCTTGCACACGGTGAAGGGGACACCCTTCGAGACTCCGGACCAGGGCAAGGCGAGGTTGCTAACCCACTGGGAGCAGATGGATTATGGGGTCCAGTTCACAGCGTCTCGGAAGTTCTTAACCATCACCCCCATCGTGCTGTGAGTGCCCTGAGTAGAGAAGGACGCCAGCAGCCAGGCCAAGGCCTGGGGAACCCTGGGCCCTGCCAGGCTTCAGCGTGCCCCCAGATCTGGCTTTTGGCATGGGAGTGAGCAGAGGAGGGGAAGTTGGAGTATCCCTGGGTCCTCTACTGGGCTCGGGTCTTGCATCTCCCTGGCCCTGTCTTTCACCAAAATGGGCCTTCCTGCCTGCAGTGATGTCAGCCCACAGAGCTGGGGTCATGCAAGGGGATTGGGTTGGGAGGGACCTCTTTAACTGAGGCGATCTTGCCATCCTGCTTCTGTTCTGGGGGTCTTTCCCATAACTCCTTAGCTATCAGGGATCTGCCACTCCTCACCCAGGAGTGAGGGAAGAAGGGCTCCTCCAAACAGAGTCTTATGCCTCTTCCCAACCTTCCCACCCAGGTACTTCCTCACCAGCTTCTATACCAAGTATGACCAGATCCATTTCATCCTCAACACCGTGTCCCTGATGAGTGTGCTCATCCCCAAGCTGCCCCAGCTCCATGGCGTCCGGATTTTTGGAATCAATAAGTACTGAGGGCACAGCCCCATCCCCTGCCTGGCTGGCGGGGGAGGGTAGAAGCCTGTGCTGTGATGCTGAAGACAGACGGAGCCTCTGGATCCTGCTAGAGATGGGGGTCGAGCCTCTGGGCCCTAGTTTGCCTCCTCACTTCCCCTGGTAGCCGACTTGAAGTAGCTTGTAGTGGGGTTCAGGTGGGCCCCCCCCCCCCAGGTCTCTGACCCTTTCTGATATTTTTGATCTTTTCTTTTTGCCTTTTGGATAGAGACTTCGTGGGGGCAGTCATGGAATGGGCTGGGCTTCCAGCTGAATGCAGATCTGTGAGGTTGGGACAAGAGAAACCCCTGCTCACTTGCTCATCCTCAGACTGCTAAAGCACTTTAACCCCTGCAAGGGGAGCAGGGGGGACGGTACAGCTTCTAGATGGTTTTACTTTAATTCTTAAGTCTTTAGGATGACACTCAGTGCGTGCTTGTACATGTAAAAGCAAGCGCGTGATGGTGCCCCATCCCTCCGGGTGGAGAACTGTCTATTGAGTCTTGTGCTTTTGACAGCTTCCCTACAACCCACCCTGGGTACTGGATTGGAGTGGGGAGGGTCAGGAGAAGGCGGGTGGGGCTGGGTGTGGCTGGCCTGGTCCCAGAGGTGAGGGGCCCGTGGCCGCTCTCATCTTAGCCCTGGTGGAGGTGGGGAGGGTGGTTGGGGCAGGGTGGGGATGGTGAATTGAGACTTGGAAGAAGGGGCCACATAGCAGCAGAGACTGGTGTCAGGGAGGAGGATGGGGATAGAAGCCGGACCTAACCTTGGTCTTTGGGAAGTGGTCAGGTTGGGGGCAGGCTCAGAGAGTTAATTTCCCCATGGCCTGGTGGTGATAATAGGCTGGGAGGCTGTGGGGGGTCTAGAGCTCCTGAGTTAGCATGAGGGGTGGGGAGGGGTGGAAGAGGCCTGTGAGTCATGGTCAGCACGGGTCCAGTTTGACACTGCCTTGTGCAGTGGTGTGAGGGGCGTGGGGGAACTGGGACATGTGAGTGGTCGGGCCCTTTTGCAGCCTCCACCTCGTAACCTCCTCATGCAGTACCTGTGGGGCTCTGGGGCCACCCCTGAATGGGGTGGGCGGGCCACAGAGTGGTCCCTGCCCAAGCAGAATAGCAGAAGGAGTCCGGAGTGACCCACGGGTGCTGTCTCCTCAGCCTGGGGGTGGGAGATGCGGGGCAGGAGCCTGAGTGTGGACTGGAGAGGAGCTGCCTTTCACCCTTTCCAATCTGGCCAAAAAACTCCTTTTTGAAAAAGAATGGGTGCCCACGCCCCCGCCCAGGCCCCTGAGGGAGGAGGGAAGCTCATTGGTCCCGTTTCCTGCCTCCTGGTTTCCCTGCTCCCCACCCCATGTATCATAGGGAACTTTCACCTCAAATCTTTCTAAGCAATGTGTGAATAGGATTTTTACTCCCTTTGTACAGTATTCTGAGAAATGCAAATAAAGGACAATGTGTTCCTGTTTCCCCTGAGTCTGGCCTCTGCTTCCTGGAGGGCCCCGGGGGAAGGGGCAGGGATTTGGGCCGAGGCGCCCACTGAGGGCAGTGTGGGAGTGAAGGGGACCCTCTGCCTAGGCTCTGGGACTGCCCCTCTTCCTGGTGCCCTCCCCTGACAGCACCAGCCTGAGGGGCTGGGAGGGAACTGGCAGAGGCAACAGCAGGCCAGAGGGCAGAGTTCTCTGTGACCTGGCATGGCCGTTCTTCTGTCTGAACTTACACCTCTAGTCTCCTGGGGCTGGCTGAGATGGGCTGTGCTGGCAGAGGGATGGCTCGTGCTTGGCCAGGAAGGGGGTCAGTGATTCGTGAATGAAGATGGAGTCCCAAGGGGTGCCCAGTCCTTTCCTCAGGATGCCCTCCCATGTTCTCACTTCTCTTCCCTGTGAGGTCTGCATTTCCTCCTGGCCTTTCCATCTCCAGGGGATCGGTGCTTCCTCTCCTCTTCTGGAAGCATCCGTGGGGTAGGGAAGAGAAGTAAGCTTCCAGGTCTTGTTTAGGCTCACGGGTCCAGGAAAGGAGGGAGTCCTTTAGTGAAGGAGCTCTGGTCTTTGAGGTTCTGGACCTTTCATTGTGCGCTCTGCAGTGACCTGTGCTGGTCCTGAGACAGGTGTGAAGCCCCAGGTAGAAGGGAGGAGCCGCCCCGGGCGGTGGGGCCCTGCCTGGCACTGCCAGTGGCAGTGTGCTTGGAGTGGGTGTTGGCAAGAGTGCAGTGTCTTTGCCCAAGTCCACCGAGTGAGGCCTACACAGTGCTGGGGGTAGCCAGTTGGCCACCTGGGCCCATTCGTGAGGGTGGGGGAGCCCTGAGAGCTTCTGTGCACTCGCTGGAGCGTAGTCAGGGTGAGGGGCTGGCGCTCAAATCCTGCTCTGCCCCTCGAGGCCCTGCTTCTCTGAGCTTCAGTTTCTTCCTCTGTGGTGGGAGGATAATCCGGGTCAGGGCTGTTGTGAGGATTAGCACAACACCTGGCACTGGGTAAGTACTTAGTACAGGGCAGTCACATTAGCACTATTCCTGTTGTCACTGCCACGATCCTCTCCTAAGGTGTTGCTTTGAGGGGGCCCAGAAGACAGGCAGCCTCACTCAGGTGGTTATCTCTGAGGACTGAGGGGTGGGGGCCCAAGGCTGCTTCTTGGAGAAGAAGGTAGGCCAGAGGACAGGCGGCGGCATCTCCGGTGCACCATCCTCTGGCCCAAACGCACCTTGAGTACATACCAGGTGAATATATCGATATCTCTCCCTCCGGCTCCCTGAGTCCAAGAGGGGGAAAGACTTTCTTCCCTCTGGCTTGACCTGCCTCTGGCCAGATCATGGCTTATCTGAAGGCCTGAGAGGTGGGGCACCTAGCCCTACCCCAGCTTTCCAGTTCTTTCCGTTCCCTTCCTAGTGGTTCCTGAGACACACCGGGCCGGCACCTGTGCAGAGATCTTACAGGGGATTTCTACAGCCGTCATTCCTGGTGAGCAGCTGAGGTGAGTGGAACCCTGGGATGGGCCTGTGGGTCCCGGGTACTGCCCTTCTGGGCACCCAGAAGAACTCCCAGGCTGGGAGTGAGCTGAGAGCTGGCCACGATGATGGGTGAGTAGGTGCCTGGGCCAGCCAGAAGGGACTTAGAGGAAAGTGGCCAGAGGAAAGGGACTTAGAGGTAGGATGGGGAGGTGAAGCCCAGAAAGCTTGGAAGGTGAGTCCTGGCCCCAGGAGGAAGGCAGAGGAGCCTGAAGAAAGGGAAACAGATCTCAAGAGGAAGAGGTCACAGAGGGGCAGAAGGGGAGAGAAAGAGAAGGATTTGGCAGGGGTGCCTGGGTGGCTCAGTTGATTAAGCATCTGACTCTTGATTTTGGCTCAGGTCATGATCTCAGGGTTGGGAGATTGTTCCTTGCGTCGGGCTCTGCACTCAGCAGGGAGTCTGCTTGAGATTCTCTCTCCCGCTCTCCCTCTCCCTCTGTCTCTCCAATAAATAAATACATCTTAAAAAAAAGGATTTCTAGGGCGCCTGGGTGGCTCAGTGGGTTAAGCCGCTGCCTTCGGCTCGGGTCATGATCTCAGGGTCCTGGGATCGAGCCCCGCATCGGGCTCTCTGCTCAGCAGGGAGCCTGCCTTCTCCTCTCTCTCTGCCTGCCTCTCTGCCTGCTTGTGATCTCTCTCTGTCAAATAAATAAATAAAATCTTTAAAAAAATAAATAAATAAATAAATTAAAAAAAAAAAAGGATTTCTAGACATCATGGTGAAAACATCTTCAGATGAGTGAGGACAAGCAGTGGTAATCTGACAGAATCCTTTCTTACAGTGTGAATGTCTCTAGCGATCTTTCTGAGGGGTGCACATAGTGATGGGAATAAAACCTGTTTGTACATGAAAAAAAAAAAAAGAGGATTTGGAGGTGAATCCTCTTAATCCTCTTAAGCACCTGAAGGGTCCAGTGTGCTGGGGACAAAGAGCCGCTGCTGATAGAAACAGGGAAGGACCAGCCATATGCATCAGGTTGCACTGGTAATGGGCCTATGGAGGGTCCCGCAGGGGAGCTAGAGAGGAACAGGGGCCAATTGTAGACCAGGAGTGGGTGAAGGGGAGAGTGGGTGGGGGAGATACCCCAGATGCGGTTTTGGGATTCATTTTATTTTACCCAGAGTAAGGGGGACCCTTCACAGGCTGACCATTAACTGAGGAGATCGGGCCTAAGGATGGGGGGCTATCCAGGGCACCCACCCCCACTCCACTCTTACACTCCATCCTTTCTCTCTTATTTCTTTCTGAGGTCGACTTACCACTGTCTCATTGGGAAATGGTTGGTAGGAGCACCCATCCCACTGCCTTCCAGAATATGGAGGCCCCAAGGCAGAGCCAAGGGAAGAAGTAATCATTGGGGTTGGCAGTGTGAGGTCTGGCAGCCATGCCCCTCATCCCTTCCTGGGTCCTCTGTTCATCAACACTGGTGGGGCTCTGGCTGGAAGATGGTGGGCCTGCCTTCCTACCCCTCAGGCCCCTCTGAGCAAAGGGGCAACTGGCTCTGGGAGATGCAGAAAATAGGTCTCGCTCTCCTTTCCATTAGGGTTAATCAGTGCTCCATCTTTCCTCCAGAAGCATTCTATAAAGGACAGAGGAGAATCTAGTATTTGTGATGGTCACCCTCCTTAGTGTGTAGTGACCATCTCGCCTTCTAGAAACAGGGAAGTTAAATAATTCAAGTCCTGATCATTCTAGAACTTTCGGATCCCAGGATGCCAAAGGTAGATTTAAAAATCTGAACCAGGGGCGCCTGGGTGGCTCAGCGAGTTAAGCCTCCGCCTTCGGCTCAGGGTCCTGGGATTGAGCCCCGCATCAGGCTCTTTGCTCGGCAGGGAGCCTGCTTCCCCTCTCTCTCTGCCTACTTGTGATCTCTCTCTCTCTCTCTGTCAAATAAATAAATAAAATTAAAAAAAAAAATCTGAACCAATATACCCCTCTCCCAAACTGATATTAACTTCTTTTTCTCCAGTTGGTCCAGGCACAATGTCCAGCGGATTTGAGGAAGTCTCAAGAGTTGTGGTCCAAGAGGTAGATCCTGGAGGGAATGTGATTGCTGTCCGAAGCATCCTTGACGCTGACAGGTTTCACTGCTATTCTCTGGTGAGGGGGAGGAGAAATTTCTAGGGACGCCAGTACCACAGGATAGACCTCACCCAAGAGGACATACTGGAGAGAGGGGAGGGTGAAGGGCTGTTTGATAAACTGGGTTCTGGGCCCCAAGGTTAGCATGAGGGGGTAAGAAATGGCCAGCCAGGAGACTTTGCCCACTCCTGCTCTGCCACGCTGTCACCACTCCATTGCCAGCAAGCATGGCAGCCATTCAACAGAGAACTTGCATGTACTGGAACCTGTATGCACGTGTCCATACCCCTCAGTTTAAGAAATGCACAAAAGATGTTAACTATCTGGAATTTAAATTAACTGGAAAAAATGCAAAAAAGAAATGCATGGGGAGAAAGGAATGGTTGGGGGGGGAGTGGAAATTTATTTTTATTAGAAATTATTCCTAACTTGTCTTCCTTTCCCACGTTTCTGCTTTGTAAATAATTCACTCTTAAATTAGCTGAGGTCTTCTGGTGTGTTTATATGTTTATCATTTCGATGGATAAATAAACGGAGGCAGTTTGCTTAGTGGTTAAGGAAGGACATAGGCCTTAGAGCCGAGGGCACCTGGTTTCTAAGCCTGGCTCTGCCTCCTGCCAGCTGGGTGACTCCTGGACAAGTTGCTTTCTGCCTCCAGGTCTGTTTCCTCCTGTGTCAACTTGAGAAGACTGTTGCAAAAATCCAACGAGGTAAATTAGGTGAATCATTTGTCACAGTGGCCATGCAGGAGGAGCCTTCAGTCAAAGTTCAGCCCCATCCTTCTGCTGTGGGCTGTTAGCCTTCCTGTTCCCTGAAGATCATGACTGAGTGGGTGACCAGAACTCCCTAAGGGCTTGCAGGATTTATAGAGGAGTCTGGTCCATTCCCTTGCCTCCAAACTCAGTTTTTTTGGATTTCGGAAGCCCCAGGGTAAGTGCTATTGAACCCTCACTGGGAGACTTATTTCAGTGTCTCACACCCGAGGGTGAGGACTTTCCCTGCTCAGACATCTCTGTGGCAGCCTTTCTGGATCTCACCAAGAGATGGAAAAGAACCTAAGGATTCCACTGTACCTCTGAGAGCCTGTGCCCTGTGCCATAACTGCCGCTATGCGACCAAGAGCAGGGCCCAGATTACTTGGGAGGCGGTGGACCTTTCCACAAGTGGAGTTTTGTTAAGCAAGTGAGGGGCTTCAGGCAAATTTCACGGTTATGGTTATCGGGTATCCTTGTTCAAAGACTCTGAGTTAATTCTCTGAGAAGCAAATTGCCAAGAGGCAATTTTCTAAAAGCTGGTTCTCAACAAAACAAAACAAAAAAACCCAAAACAGTTTGCTAAATGACCAGTTCAAGGAAAACAGAAAACAAACAAAAAAACCTTTAAACTAGGTTCATATGTTTTGCCATGATCGTGTTATTCTCCAGGGACAGGGGAAAGTGTTAAGTACAGAAAAAAATCAACTAAGTCAGTTAACTTCCTATAAGGGAAAGTCTGTCTGTTTGCATAAAAAATTCAGAGGCAAGGTTGGTTTCTTTCTTTCTTTCTTTTTTTCTTTTTTTTTTCAAAAAAACCCTACAAAACCATGAAATAAAGATTTCTTAAAAAAAAAAAAAAATTCAGAGGCAGAGGTGAAACCAAACTTTAAAAAGAAGTCCTTACAAATGAAAGATTATTTTTTAACTATACGGTGCTGATGTATGGTTAAAGTGTGCATAGGTTTTTGGTTTGTTTTGTTTTCCTGTTAACTAAAGTCCACATACTTCACTCTGATTATCTTTGTGCTTACCTAAGATCCTTTTTCTGTTTCAAGATCTCATCCACATTACCTTTAGTTATCTTATCTCCTGAGGCTTCTCTTGGCTCTGACAACTTCTCAGGCTTTCCTTCTTTTTGATGACGTTGACAGTTTTGAGGAGTACTGGTCACACATATTGTAGGATGCCTGTCTACCTGAATTTGCTCGATGTTTCTTTCTCACGGCCAGACTGAGGCAATGGGCTTTGGAGAGGGAGACCGTAGAGGTAAAGTGCCATTCTCACTGCATCATAGCAAGGGGATGTGCCATCAACATGACTTATTGCTGTTGGTGTTGACCTTGGTCACCTGGCTGATGGGGTGTTTATCAAGTTTCTCTTCTGTAAAGTTAGCCTTTTTCCCCCTTCCCCATACTATACTGTTTTTGTGCATAAGGTTTCATTTTTCTTTCCTCTTGGACAAAGTACGTGCAGTCTTGTACATTGCTTAAGAAACAAATGGGCCCCAGATGTTAATGTCACACATAAAGGACGGATTTGAGGCACTATTTCCAGTTCTGTCACGTTTCCACTAGTTCCAAAATGCATTTTTCTTTGGAGATCCAGCCCTGCCCACCCCTATCCCCCCAGCCTAGCAGTGGAAGGTCTTTCTCCTCTGTATTTCACATTTGGAAGGTCTGAGAAAAAGGCACTTGGCCTGGCAGGACCTCCACACAGGCTCCCCTAACCCCAGGGCAGCAGCCGACCTGGAAGCCAGGCCCTTATGGAGGCGCCTCGTCAGTCTGGGCAGAGTCCACACAGATGGGCGACTTTCCAGAATTGCTTGACTTTATACCTACACGGGTTCGTACAAATGCCAGAGACTAGACTCTGCTAAGTTCTTATTTCCCAACTCCTAATTCTTTAGCTTTAGTTTTCCTTGTCTCATCTCAGCCTCATAAATAGTTAAATAGGACTAGCTCACACTTACTGAGCTTTTAGTATGTGTGCAAGGCATTTCGCTAATAAGCACTTGATTGCTTTGTTTTAATTTACTCAAGTTCATGGGGAATGAACTTGTGTTTTGTGTTTTATTTAATTTCCCTTGTTGTTTTATTTAATTTCCTCAAGTTCATGGGGAAACTGAGCCCGCTGGGTGGCTCAATGGGTTAAGCCTCTGCCTTTGACTCAGGTTGTGATCTCAGGGTCATGGGATGGAACCCAGCATCAGGCTCTCTGCTCAGCAGGGAGCCTGCTTCCCTTTCTCTCTCTGCCTACCTCTCTGCCTACGTGTGATCTCTGTCTGTCACATAAATAAATAAAATCTTTAAAAAAATTGTTTTCTCAAGTTCAGGAAGTAGGTACTATTAGCATTCTCCTTCTATGGATGAAGAAACAGATTCAAAGAGTGAGAGTGACTTATCTGAGGTCATTTGGTAAGAAGGTAGCAGAATGGGTTCAAACCCGGGATTGTGTAACCCCTTGATGACTCCTGGTGACCTCAGTGTTTCCTGGGAGCCTCAACTGGAGGGCCTCCTCAGAAGGGAAGGGGATTGTGGAGGGGAGCCCAGGGTGGGGCTGCTCTAGGGAGGCTTTTCTGGAGCGATCTTTTGTGTCAGCCTCAGCATGACCTTTACCCTTCTCTTTCCAGAGAACTCCAAAGGCTGAGTTCCAAGTTCTGGACATGGTAGACTCAAAGGGAATGTTGACAGTGAAATTACCCAAAGAAATAACAATTGTAGGGGCCTTCCTGAGTCAAGATACTGGAGACCCGGATACCCCAACAATATCTGGATTCCCTTGAGCATAGGGAGGCTGGAGTTGGGCAGCATGGGGAGGGAGAGGGGGAATACCCGTTTTGGGGCACCAAGGGCGTTTGAGGTGGAGGTGTCCTGGCTGGTGCAGCCCCTCACGCCGTACCCCCAACACCTCCCAGAGCCCGCTCCTCACTCAAGCCTGCCCTCTTCTTCCCCCTTCAGAAAACCTTCTCATTCTATCTGGATCAGCCTCCAGGAAAATTTCTGACACCCCTAACTCACTCGCATCCTGCTACCCTCCAGGGTGACTGATGCCTCTGACTTGGACCAAAACCTGCTGGTTTCATGAGGCCACTCTCCTTTGTTCTCCTACCGAGTTGCCCAGATCCTTGTTTTTTACAGCTTCACTCTGCCTTGTGGCCAGCCCAGCCCCCTCCCTCAGGGGCATAGGAACAGCTCGTGACCTTGACCGGGCGGGACTGGCTTTATCAACCTCTCTGTGTTTATCCCCAGCGCACAGTAGGTGCTCAGTAAGACAGCAGAAGCGAAGTGCAGTGAGATCAAAGCCCCCCTGCACAGAATGTTTCCTGCACAGAAAGTGCCAGCACCCCACCCCAGGCGCTGACCAAGTGCCACAGAGGTTCTGATGGCTGAGGCCACAGTGCTTCCGAGGGACTTACAGGGACATGGCCGGCCTTCCCCTGCAGCTGCGATTTTGTTGGTGTGGGTGTTTTCTTTCCTAGCTGAAGATGTCGGAAAGTGTGGAGCAGCTCAGTGGAGGAGACTCAACCTTGCTCCAGGGCTAGCCCTCCCCAGTGTGGTGAGGTCTTTGGTTTTCCCTTTTTAGTTCAAAAGTGAAAGGCTTACACTGAAATTTCACTGGTCCTTTGAACTACCCCCGCTATCAAAGTGTTGCTGGGGAGGGGCTTTTGGAATTTTTCTAAGGGGGCTCAGTTTCTTTCTAGAGTGCTTGTTGTTTCTAGAATGAGGCTCTGTGGGGTGTGTATACAGAATTGGGGGGAGGCTCTTAGGTAGAGGGTGTTTAGCAGAGGCAAGGATGAAGGTCTTCCTGGAGGGTCTTTTGGTTGCAAATTTGGATGAAGTTCCATCAAGCTATTTTTATAGGCTTAGGGGATCAAGGATGTTTTCTGGAGCCCAAGGCTGTGGACAATGTGGCCAGGTCCCAGGGACCAGTGTGAGGAATTGGAGCCCCATCTCAGAGAGGTGGGTGTTAATGGCCTGGGAAAATGCCTGTCTCAGTGCCATGGGAAGGGCCATGCTTTGGACTTATACAGACTACGGTTTGAATTCCAACTTCGCACTTATTAGCTGTGTGGCCCTGGGCCATTCACAACCTGTCTCTAGACCTGTCTCAATTTCCTTATGAGAAATGGGTGCAGTTCTGCCAGCATCATAGGACTGTGGTGAGGGGGCAATGAAATGACGTGGGAAGTCTCTCCTGGTGCTGGCACACCGTAATCTTCCAGAGATGCTCGTGAGTTCCCTTCCCACTTCCCACCTCCTTGCCCCAACCGTGGGGACAGTGAACTATGATGGGGTGCCATGTGGCTTGGTTTTCCAGCTTCAGAGACCCTCAGTCTCAAATAGAAACTAGCGGATGGAGAAAGAGCAATGGCACTGGTAGGTGGGGCTCCTGGGATCCTGAGCTCTGATCCCCGCCTCCACTCCCTCCAGGAAGCAGAGAAGACTACTACCTACTTTGTTGCAATCAGTCCGGAAAAGGAGAGCAGACCTGTATCTGGTGACAGGAGACTCTGGAGATGGCAAGGAAGGAAACCCTGAAAAGGGAAGGCAGTGTACACAGCAGAGCCGGAGGAACACAAGGTTAGGATCCTGGGAGGCAGGGCCTATGAGAGAACCAAGCCTTGGCCCACCCGCGGTAGGCCAGGGGTGCCAGCCCAGACCCCTGGCTCTTCAGGTCTTCTTCCAGACTTCCCTGAGCAATCTCAACTGCCCCCTTGGCTGCCTTAGGCCTTCTCTTCTCGCCCCAAGAGAGCGTGTGTGGCATTGCTAAGTCCCTCCACTGTTATTCTCCTGTGATGCCCTATTTTCATTTGCTTCTCAGAGTTTCTCACGGTTCATAATTACATGGGGATTTTTGCTATTGTCTGCCTCCCTTTCTGAGAGACAGGAAGGCAGGAGCTACAGCGCCTGGAATAAAAAGGTCCTTAATAACCATTTACTGAATCAACAGTGGAAACAACATGAGTTTTGGGGTCAGGTGCGGGTTCATATTTCAGCTCTGCTCCTGTTTAGCTGTGAAACTGGCTTAACTACTGGTCCTTTTTTTTTTTTTTTTTTAAGATTTTATTTATTTATTTAACAGATAGAGATCACAAGTAGGCAGAGAGGCAGGTAGAGAGAGAGAGAGAGAGGAGGAAGCAGGCTGCCTGGCTGAGCAGAGAGCCCGATGTGGGGCTCGATCCCAGGACCCTGAGATCATGACCTGAGCTGAAGGCAGAGTCTTAACCCACTGAGCCACCCAGGCGCCACCCACCCCTGCCTTTTTTTTTAAAGATTTTACTTATTTGACAGAGAGTGCGAGTGCCCGCCCTGTGCACTTGAATGGGGGAAGGGACAGAGGGAAAGGGAGGAGCAGACTCCCAGCTGAGCAGGGGTCCCAACTGTGGGTGATCCCAAGACCCTGGGTTCATGACCTAAGCCAAAGTCAGATCTCATCCCCCTGAGCCACCCAGGCGCCCCCACTGATCTGTTTTGATTTTCAGTTTTCTCATCTGTAAAAGTGGAATTGTTTGGGAGATCTAGCAAATAACCTGCAAAGCACCCAAGGATTAATCAGTATGAGCTTTTTTTTTCTAACACCAAAGGTCAGTGACCAACCCCCTAAAGGAGGTCCTGGGCTGTCAGTCTTCCTCAACATGGGGAGAATGAGTAAGCAAGACACGGTGGGGGCAGGGTAGGGAGGATAGGTTCAGCTAGGCTCTGCCTCAGCCTGGAGGGGCCCTGGTGAGCTTAAAGGTGGGGGGAAGTTCCAGGGAAGGGGGAGGGTTCAGGGCTGGGTAGGAGGACTGAGGCTTCTTGCTCAGATACCCAGGATTTGCCCCACCTAATCCTTTCCTAGCTAGAGGTGTTAACACCTGTCTCTTTCTGAGTTTGTTTTCATTTTTTGTTTTGGTGAGGGGCAGGGTGTGAGGACTGGGGAGAGACGTGAAAGAGGAACTTACAGAGAAAGAACTTGTCTTTTTGAGAACTGGTTTTCTCTCTCTCTCTGGCACTAGTTTAGATATTTGTATCTTGGGCAACACAAAATCCTTTCCAGAAGGTGAGTGGCTTCAAGGCCTTTTGTTCATCATTCCAGAATGGGCAAGGATACCGTTTTTAAAAAGAGGATAACAAATGGCCCGGAATTATACGGTTCTTAGGGTTGAGCATAGAATAGGGTGCATCCAGGGGTGGGAACCATAGTATGGGCAGGATAAAACCCCTGTGTGTTGGAGAAGCAGGTTGGATTGCATGTTGGCCTGCGGTTTCCAGGCTCTGACAACCTTGACTTGCTTTGTGTAGGTCAGTATGCTGGGTCCTGGGGTCCCAGCCCTCACTGAAGGCTGAGAGGCCTGGGAAGCACAATTAAAGTCCAGTTCTTACATAGCACTGGCTGTGAAGAGACCATTGGAACTGGGAGTCAGATTCAGGGTCTTGTGGCTCTGCCACTCACTCTGTAACCTCCTAAGCCTTGGTTATCCTGACTTTCACACAAGTGGGTTAGACTCAATGATTCCTGTGATTCTGAATGTGGCTTCCTCTGGAATTTCAGAGTCTTCCCCTGGATCCCAAAAGAGGTGTACTGCCTAAGAGGCCCTCAGTAGGGGTTGAGGGAGGTCTAGATATGGTAGAAAATTCAAGAAACTCCCAGAAGCTGCAGCATGCACTTTGAATGGCAAGGACTAAATAAGTTCTGATTTCCTGGAGATGGAGAAGAATTTGGGGTTGGTACTAGACTGGGGGTGAGCTGGGAAGATGGAGGTGGGGTTAGGAGGCAGTGATGGTGGGTATCTAGAAAGAAGGATGCTTTTATTTTAACAGGAAAATATTAGAAGAACGAAAGAGACAGAAAAGTGGTCTCATGAAGAATGGGGCCTTGGTGATAATGGAACTTGTTGGCTGGGTAGGTCGAGTTTTTTGTTTTTTGTTTTTTGTTTTTTTTAAGATTTTTTTTTATTTATTTGAGAGAGAGAGAGACAGAACACAAACAGGGGGAGCAGAGGCAGAGGGAGAAGCAGACTCTATACTGAGCAGGGAGCCTGATTCAGGGCTGGAGATCATGACCTGAGCCAAAGGCAGCTGCTTAACCGCCTGAGCCACCCAGGCACCCCAAGGGTAAGTAGAGCTCTTAATTGCTGTCTCTACAGGGAAGTCCTTGAGTTTAGAGGATTTCAGAAATGTGAAGGAGGAGGACATGGTGAGGGGCCTCTAGGATCTGAGAAGGAACAAAAAGATGTGCTAAGCTGCCTCAGAGGGCAGTTGCCCCTCTACTAGAGTGGGACTGGTGTCATCTCCCCCATTTCCTGCCCCTAGGCGTTGGAGGTCCTGATCTCTGGTGACCTACAGATGGGAGGGTCTAGCAGGTCTTCTCATGAGTACCTTTTTTAACGCTGCTGGGTTCTTGGTAAAGGCACATACGGGATCCATTCTGGATATCTTGGATGCTTTGATTAGTGAGGAGGGATGTGGCTGTATGCTGATGGAGGAATTGCCGAGCAGAGGGGTCTGTGGGGATTCAAATCTTAGGAGGAAGGGGGCATACATTGCCTTTTACATTTTGTGCAGGATAGACCCTCACATTTTAGAACCTTGCCATTTTCCCCAGGCCAGGGATTAGGGGGTACCTACTCTACCTCCTGGCACAGTCTGACCTCCTGCAGGCTAAGAGGGGAGCAGGGGGCACAGCAAGAGCCCATTTGGAATAATGCTCATCTGTCACTGCCAGGGGCCCTCTGGAACCTCCTCTTCTGATGCTTGTCCCGGGGCTGATGAGACACTGAAGCCCTGTCCCACTGTGTGCTTGTCCTCTCTGCCAGCTACCCTCTTCACCTTCTTTTTTTGCCTCCAGAGCTGTCTGAGGAGCAGCACCGTGTGTCTGAGGCCCTAGAGAGGGGGACCCTGCCCCTGCTGACCCTGCCCCTGCTGAAGGACCAGGTAAGACAGCCTGGGCTGAGGGCCAGGGCCAGTAGAAGTGAATACCTGTGCTCTCAAGGGACTCAGAAGACCCAAGGACAGTCTTTCCTATTTCATAGTTCTCTGTTAATTTGCATCTATTCAGCTGGTCTGTGGCAATTCCCTGCAACACTTGGTTTCCAAGACAACTTGGGGTGGGCTTTTTAGACTGTTGCTAGCCTATGGGCAGGGGACGGGGCGAGGGGGCGCGCAGAAAACTGTTGTCCCAGGATGGCAGTGCCAACACTGATTAGCAGTGCCTGTCACTATGTTGAGAGGATATGAGACTCTCCAGGATCTGCAGGAAAAAGTGGCATAATAGATTACTACATCTGCCAGGGCCCAGGATTAAGAAGTGTGGCCAATGGGGCGCCTGGGTGGCTCAGTGGGTTAAGCCTCTGCCTTCGGCTCAGGTCATGATCTCAGGGTCCTGGGATCGAGCCCTGCATCAGGCTCTCTGCTCAGCAGGGAGCCTGCTTCTCCCTCTCTCTCTCTGTCTGCCTCTGCCTACCTGTGATCTCTGTCTGTCAAATAAATAAATAAAATCTTTAAAAAAAAAAAAAAGAAGTGTGGCCAAGTATTTGCCATTTCTAGTATGATTCCTTGTTCCTAGCTTTGCAGTCTGGTGTGTTTCTTTCCAGGTAGAATCTGTCCTGGAGCAGAACTAAAATGAACAGCCCCGTGATGTGGGCTGAGACCGTGACACACGACTTCTCTGTGCCCTCTGTGTTGCTCTCTCCCTCCTGCTGCAGCTGGGTGAGAAGCTGACCTCCGTGCCTTCCTAACTGTATGTTAGCCCTTAAACCATTCTCCTCTCAAGCCTCTGGGGGCTCCCCTCCCAGGCCATCCCTGTCCCCCACCCCCAGTCACCGGAATGCTGTCTTTATAACAAACAGCCGACTATTCTTCAATATATCACGTTCCCTACATGAGAATGTCCAAAAATCAACCCGGGTTATATGCATGAGCTTCTGACTAAAAGTGGCAGATTGGTCATATTAATTTTCTCTCCCTCTTGAAACCTCACTAAATAAAGTAAAGCAATAGGAAAGATGTAAACCCACAATGATAAAGAGAATGAGGCAGCAGATAAGAGATTCTGACACATCTTTGGAAACTAGAAGGCAATTAAAGGCATTCAAGCCAGGAGGTGTGGGCCTGAGAGGAGCAGGAGCATGGGAGGAGACTGCTGTTCCCTCATCATGAACATTTTATCTTTAATATTTTTTAAGATGAGGTAATTAAAAGTAAAAGAAATATATGCTTGTTGTAAAGTATTTCACATACTGCTCACGGTCAAAGGTGATCTCCCCTTTTTCTTCTGATATAACCACTGCTGACATTTTTTGGGCGACTTTAACAGTCTTCCTGTGAAGCAGTGTCTACAATGGTAATTTAAACATGAAGCTAGGATGATATAACAAATTTGATTTCTATCTTTGGTACTTGAGTTGTTTTTTCTTTTAGATTGGTAAAAATACTATATGCAACAGGAATTCTCGTAAGTGCTGTTGGGAGTGAACTGCTTTAGTGAACTGTTTGACGGTGTCTACTAAAGCTAAACGTGTGCCTGCGAGCCGGCCCCTCCACTTCCTAGGCACATACCAAAGAGGAAGCAGTGTGCGTCTCCGCCTAAAGACACGCATATACAAAAACATGAGCGTAAGAGCCCCAAGCTGAACACTACTCAAATGTCCGGTGACTTTAGGATGGATACATATATTGTGGCATATTTATGCAAGAAGAGAGAGCAAGTCACTGCTACACATAACAATATAGATGACTTTCACAGACACAGTGCTGAGCAAATCACTCTAGACACAAAAGAACATATTTGAATTCTCTGAGGAGCAGATGACAAAATAGAATTGGATGCGCAAACGTCATAGTAATGGAAGCGACTGTGAAGAATAAAGGGAGAGGGAGGAGGAATGGCAAGCCTTCAACGAAGGTCTAAAACCTAAGAAAGGAGAGAAGGAGGGCAGTTCCAAGAGTCTCTTTGCTCAGCCCTGAGTCCCCATCAGGCAGGACTGGCCAGGCTCTAATGTCCACCCCAAGCTCAGCCTTTGGCTGGAAGCAGCCCAGGGAAGCCTGGTCTCAGGAGGGAGATGTACAAGGGAGCAGACAGAGCTTCTTTGTCAGCTATGCTTCCTGCAGCAGGTTCCCCTAAAGAAAATCCTCCCTGGCCACCAAAATACTGTATGATCCCATTATACAAGGCTCAAGAGCAGGGAAAAACTAAGCAATGGTGGTAGAACTCAAAATAGTGGTTATCTTAGTGGAATAGTCTTAACTGAGAAGAGGCATGAGGGAATCTTCTAGGGTGCTGGAAATATATAAAGATTTGTTGTGCTAACATTTATGATCCGTATACTTCACTATATTTACATCAATTAAAAAAAGTTTATAAAAAGTACATAGTATATAATTCCATGTAAATGAAGTGAAAACCGAGCAAAACTAAATGATAGTGGTAGAACTCAGAATAGTGGGGGCAGTATTGGCTTGGAAGGGGCATGAGGGAATCTTCTGGGGCATTGGAAATATTTTATGACTTGATCAGGATAGTGGTTATGTGGATGTTTACATGTATATAAATCTAATAAGACATACATTTAAGATCTGGGCACTTTAAGTTTGTTTTTAACTTCATCTTACTGCAAGTTTTTTTTAACCTCAATAAAAAATTTAATTTAAAAACATTGATTACACATGAAAACATCCTTGAACAAAAAATAATATAAAAAATTTAAAATTTCCTATCAAATCCCTTTACCCTTTGACATGGTCCTACTTTCTTTAGTCACTAAACTTTAGATTTTGTTATTATTTAGTTTTAGTTTTTGTTATTATTACAACTAAAAATGATATTCTTATATTTGTTCTTGAGTTATTAATTTTATTTATTTATAATTTTTAAATTTTTAAATAAACATATAATGTATTATTAGCCCCAGGGGTACAGGTCTGTGAATCTCCAGGTTTACAGACTTCACAGCACTCACCATAACACATACCCTCCCCCATGTCTATAACCGCACCACCTTCTCCCTCCCCCCCGCGCCCCGCAACCCTTAGTTTGTTTTGTGAGATTAAGAGTCTCTTATGGTTTGTCTTCCTCCTGATCCCATCTTGTTTCATTTATTCTTTTCCTACCCCCCAAACCTCCACATTGCATCTCCACTTCCTCATATCAGGGAGATCATATGATAGTTGTCTTTCTCCAATTGACTTATTTCGCTAAGCATAATACCCTCTAGTTCCATCCACGTTGTCGCAAATGGCAAGATTTCATTTCTTTTGATGGCTGCCTAGTATTCCATTGTATATATATACACCACATCTTCTTTATCCATTCATCTGTTGATGGACATCTAGGTTCTTTCCATAGTTTGGCTATTGTGGACATTGCTGCTATAAACATTCAGGTGCACGTCCCCCTTTGGATCACTACGTTTGTATCTTTAGGGTAAATACCCAGTAGTGCAATTGCTGGGTTGCAGGGTAGCTCTATTTTCAACTTTTTGAGGAACGTCCATGCTGTTTTCCAGAGTGGTTGCACCAGCTTGCATTCCCACCAACAGTGTAGGAGGGTTCCCCTTTCTCCACATCCTCGCCAGCATCTGTCATTTCCTGACTTGTTAATTTTAGCCATTCTGACTGGTGTGGAGTGGTATCTCATTGTGGTTTTGATTTGTATTTCCCTGATGCGGAGTGATGTGGAGCACTTTTTCATGTGTCTGTTGGCCATCTGGATGTCTTCTTTGCAGAAATGTCTGTTCATGTCCTCTGCCCATTTCTTGATTGGATTATTTGTTCTTTGGGTGTTGAGTTTGCTAAGCTTTTTATATATTTTGGATACTATCCCTTTATCTGATATGTCATTTGCAAATATCTTCTCCCATTCTGTCAGTTGTCTTTTGATTTTGTTAACTGTTTCCTTGAGTTATTAATTTAAGATAGTATTTATTGAAGAAGAATATTGGGAAGAACAGACATTGAACAAGAAGTACAAAATAGGAAGAATGTTATTTTTAAAATGCAGGGTACTAATGGAAGTGGTTACTTAAAGACAATAGGATGATCCCTACTTAGCTCTGACATTGTCCCCTTCCTGCTTCCTTAAATTCTGATTCCAGCTACACCAAACTGTTGGCCTTCTATTTGAACATCTACTTGTACAATGACATATTTGCTTGCTTATTTATTTATTTATATTTTTGGGAAAAAATTATAAGTTATTTATTTATTGAAGTACTCTCTATGCCCAATGTGGGGCTGAAAGCCATGACCCCGAGATCAAGAGTTGCATGCTCTTCTGACAGCCAGCCAGGTGTTCTCACATTTCCCCACCTTACCCATCCTTTAAGCAACAGTTCAAATATCTCTTCTTCAGTAGTCATCCCATTACTGAAAGAACTGGGTTACTTCTGTATGGCCCATAACACGTTGAATACATCTCTACTACGGCATTCATCATTATTGGACTGAAATTATTAGTACATATGTCTGTTTCACCAATGTGAACGTTTCTGGAGAACAGGGTTTAAATCTAACTTTTCTTTGCTAGGGTTCTGTAAACAATTTTCTTCAGAAGTACCCTTGAGTTGGGGGAAGTTTGGGAGACATACTC